CTTAACTCCAACAATCTTCAATGTTCTCCTCCGGTTTAGAGAGAAAAGAATTGCACTTGTAGGAGACATTGAAAAGGCCTTTCTCAATGTGGGAGTTGCTGAAGAAGATCGTGATGTCCTGCGATTCCTCTGGGTGGATAGTTTAGAAGAAGAGAATCCCGGATTGATGTTATATCGGTTTTGTCGTGTGGTGTTTGGAGTCAATGCTAGCCCTTTTCTTTTGAAGGACACATTGAAGTATCATATCAGTCAATATGAGGCTGACCCTGGTTTGGTTCAGAACTTGTTGAATTCATTTTATGTGGATGATTTGGTGACAGGAGAAAGGGGTGTTGAGGAGTGTCTGTCGCTTTATCAGAAGTCTAAGAAGTGCCTATTGGAAGGTGGGTTTAACTTGCGAAAGTGGATTTCAAATTCACCTAAATTGCTTGAATTGATTTGTGAGGACCAAGTTGGAACTGTCGGAACTTGTGCTGTAGTGGAGGATACAAAGTCTTATGCGAAAACTACTGTCAATCATTTGGAGAAGCTTGATATGAAGGATGAACACAAGGTACTTGGTCTTAATTGGAACTTTGTTACTGATGAGTTCATTTTTAAATTTGAAGCCTTACTACCAAAGAAGTGAGAGATGCTCATGAAAGGGTGCATCACAATAGGGTAGAAGCTACGCTGGCCCAGCTGAGAACGAGATTTTGGATTGTCAAGGGACGACAGTTTGTTAAAAGAACACTGGCTAGCTGTACAGTTTGTCGTAGATATGAAGGGAAGAGTTACAGAGTGCCTCCTCAAAGTGACCTACCCCAGTTTAGATTGAGCCAGAAACCTGCCTTTACGTATGTCGGAGTAGATTATGCTGGACCTTTGTACATTAAGATGTCAGGACAGTCTGCGTTTCAGAAGGTATATGTTCTCCTGTTTACTTGCTGTTCTGTGAGAGCAGTACATTTAGAGCTTGCTACGGACCTGTCGGTTGATGTATTCATCCGTTGCCTGAGGAGATTCGCAGCTAGAAGAGGTTTACCAGAACTGATTATCTCGGACAATGCCAAAACGTTTAAGGCTGCAGATAAAATTTTGAGCAAGTTATTTTGTTACCCAAGAGTCAAGAAATTCCTGGCCAGTAAAAGAATTGACTGGAGATTTCATGTGGACAGAGCGTCCTGTTGGGGTGGCTTTTTTGAGCGATTGATTCAGAATACAAAGAGATGTTTGCGGAAGACACTTAGGAACGCTAAGTTAAACTATGACGAATTGCACACTGTTCTCGTCGAGGTTGAGGGAACTCTTAACTTTAGACCCTTAACTTACGTATCGTCAGATGATCCTGAAGAACCATTGACGCCAAGTCACTTGATGTATGGAAGACGAATATTATCACTGCCGGAGGTAACAGGAAATCGACAAGCCTCACTTGACCATACAGTGTCGTCGGAAGATCTCCCAAGAAGACGGAAGTACTTGGGATTGTTACTGGAACACTTCTGGAGGCGCTGGAGCAGAGAATATGTTACAGAGTTAAGGAACCTGCATCGGCAGAAATCCAGGCCTAGATCCAGTATTGCTGTATCTGAGGGAAATGTTGTTACCGTTTTGGAAGACAATCTGCCCCGTAGTCAGCGGAAACTTGGACGAGTGGAGCAGTTGATCAATGGTGCGGACGATCGCGTTAGAGCAGCTGTAGTCAAGGTTGTCAGTAAGAGTGGTAGACCTGTTACTATGAAGAGGCCAGTGCAAAGGCTGTTTCCCCTGGAGATACCTGTCGTGAGTAATGATGAACAGCCTCGGGAGGAGCAGATAATTGATGGCATCAGGCCACCCAGGCGTCTTGCCGCTCGGAATGCTGATTATATTCGGAGATTATTTGACCAGTGATTCGACTGGTCAAGGGGGGAGTGTGTCACGGAGTTTTGTGTTACATTTTGCGCGTGACCTTTTTTTTATCTTTCATGTAGCCGATCACGTTTCGAACATGTGATCATGTGACACTTTGAACGGAGTAGTTTTTTGATTTAGAGAATTGTAATTTTGTCGAAGGCACGTGTATCGGTTTAGAAGCCCGTTACTTTGTGGAACCCTATCGTTTTTGGTGTGTGTGACGGAATGAAAGCCCGTTACTGTTAGAGATTTATTGGTTTCGAATAAAATCTATCACATGATCTATTGGTTCCGTTGTATCCTAACGTGTCTCGGAAACTCATTGCAGTGGCAGATCTAGACCTTCCCCGGGGCCCCTCCCCTGGATCTGCCACTGCATTGTATCTTAAAATGTCTACATTAGCTGTGAAGAATTCTGCTATATGATGAGTCTAGCCTGCCTTGCTATCCTAAAGATAATAGCATGATGGGTTGAGACAAATTTTTCATATAAGACATAAACCTGTCGCAATGGAGTGTTAGCAGACTGCTTCGTTTTTCTGTCTTATTAGAGAGTTTTTAAGCTTCACGTGTACGGTAAAAGTCAGATTCAAGTTGAGAATTTCTCAAAGTAGAAATTGAGCAAATAAAAAGAGTTCAAAACAATTATTATGGATAAAAAATTGCCTGAAACTACTAATTTATGTGTTGATATAATGAACAGTAAACGACAAGTATACTGCAAAGGGGAAACATGGTCACGTGGTACAAATTCGTGTGTGCCGTTAAAGACGTTAGGCGTAACGTGATGCTTAACCCCTGTAATAGACCTCTTTAGCTTGTATATTTTGTTTTCTCAATACAGGTCATGTGATAGTACTCTACAGAACTGTTTCTGTCAAATTTCGTCTGGTTCAGGTGAATATGTACGCACGAAATGACAAAAAGAAGTGTCAAGTTCCCCTGGGACCTCTATTAAGAAAACAAAACAAACAAGCTAAAGAGGTCTATACCTCGCAATCCAGTGCAACACGAAAAACCGGGGGGGTTATCCAATAAATGTTTATACGGGGAGGCTCCGCCCTGAGGTCCAACCCCTTACCCTTTTATATACCATTTTACACGAAAAAGGTAGCCCTTTCGTATACCTGCCAATGACAGATAGTACCTCTTTCACATACCTTGTTTAGAACTTTGGATCACTTTCAACCGCCGTAAATGATCTGTCTTTTAAACAGGAATCAATCACAAGATGGAACTTTTTTCCGACGTTTTAAAACCATAAAAAATTCATCAGTAAGCCCTTTTAATTACAGACTCAAATGAAAGATTTCCCAACCCTTTCAAATACTTGAAGCCAGAAAAAGGTACCCCTTTCGGGGGGAGCCGCCCCGCATAGCCCATCATAGGAAGTACCCCCCCCCGGTACAAGGCTAAAGGCTTAGTATCACCTCTCAATGACACGATCATCTGAGACATCTAAGACAACATCCTAAACGCTTCATCGTGTATTATTGACTCATGGATGCACTTGGGGGGATTGCTAAGCTCATAAGAACTTAAAGTAGCAGTTTGTTGACGTCACCAGCGTCCTCAACTGGAATATGAAGCACACTGACACTATCGAATAACAATTTGATCAGTTCGGTGAATATCCCAGCTATGTTATAATTTTAAAATATTATGGCAATCACTTTCAGAAATTTCTATAAGTCAACTCTACCCTTGTGGACTCCCGCAATAACAGACACCCCGATAATACGGACAGCAACTAAATCCCATGCAAAAATAAATTACAGATGTCTGACTAAATTAAACTCCCGTTATTACGGACTCTCACTAATAAGGTCGACCGTGACTAACCATAGTTCCCTACAGTGTCCGCTATAAAGGGAGTTTACTGTACAGATGTTTGACTGAAATTTACTCTCGCTATTAGAGCTCTCACTAATGAGGACCGTGACTAACCCAAGGTCTCTACAGTGTCCGCTATAAAGGAAGTTGACTGTTCTTGAAACGGATATACACTGCACAGTTGAAATTCAGTCGACTGTTACAAGAGTTTCAACCGACGTTTCGGCAATGCTGCCTTCTTCGGGGTACAAAAGGAATATGCGGCATTAAAAAGTTTCCCGCCACAAAGTTCGTTAAATTATGTAGCTCACGTGCCCTATTACGAACTTTTGTACCCTGAAGAAGGCATCATTGCCTGTTACGCGGGTAATCTTTTAGAGGACGGGTAGCTTGCAGACCAAACTGAACGCAGGGTTGTCGGAACAGCAACAAGAAGATTTATTCCAAAATGAACGTAGTTTCCACGAGGTAAAACTCCACAACAGCACGTAACTCGATAAACTTACACGGCCTCCGCCAAATGTACTTAACTTGATAAACCCACACTTGACTAAACACGACTAACGTCAAACTCTCTTCGCTTGTGAAAACTAGTTAAAACTTAACTCGAACTGGCCTACTTATATACTTTTACAATAAAGTTCTAGAACATTCCAAATAGTCTAATTATAGAAAGATTACAAAATATACCGCTTTAGAAAGTATGAACTCTCACGAAGCTTCTAGAAAGTCACGCTAGTCACGCAATACAATTTTTCGTAACATTGCCAAAACGTCGGTTAAAACACTTGTAACAGCGTCGATTTTACAATTTTCAAATTAACGTTGAGGATGATAGTTACTCTCCTTATTTTTGTTATTAATTTTGTACAAACTAGTTTAACGTTAGCTTAATAAGAGTAAACTCTTCTCTTTTATGGACTTAACACCCGGGCCTTTCCTCAAAAACACAACTATGAAAATTGAAATCTTAAGATTTAAGCCATTACACATTTATTTGTTCTTGAGGATGTAGTCGCCTTTGATTTGGGGTGTCTCACTGCCAGTGTCTTCACTTGTTTAGCTTCCGGTTCTTTCTCTAATTCCTTTGTTGTGTACAAGGGGGTTTCCCACAGTTCCTCTGTTTTCAATGTTGTATGCGTGTACGAGGGGTTTTGCCTCACTGTTTTCTCCGATTTGAAATTAGACTTGAGTTTTTCTGCACCTTGAACGGAAGCGACACCTGTTGTACATTTTGTTTCGATAGCTTTTTGTCCAGAACTCGGTTCAAACTTAGGATGTTGCTGCATCGCGTTGTGTTCAAGCAACAGTCTACAAAGGTTTTCTTTACCCTCTCTGGCACACCAGTCCAAGGGTGTATATCCATCTTTATCGTGAATATTTACATCTGCGTTGTGTTCAAGTAACAATCTACAGATGTTTTCGTTACCCTCTAAGGCACACCAGTTCAAGGGTGAAATTCCATATCGATCTTGAATATTTACATCCCCGTTGTGTTCAAGTAACAATCTACAGAGGTTTTCGTTACGCTCTTTGACACTGAAGTGCAAGGGTGTATATCCTTGTTCATCTTGAATATTTACATCTACTTTATTTGCAAGTAGTAATTTGATAAGGTTTTCGCGACCTTTTCTGACTGAAACGTGCAGAGGTGTGAATCCATAACTATCCTGAACATTTACATCAGTTCCGTGCCTTACAAGCAAGAACACTGCCATATAGTTGTTCCAAACAGCTGCTAATTTTAATGGTGTTTCTTTACCCTTTTTTCTTTGCATATTAACGTCGGCCCCAAGATCAATGAGGGTCTCAATGAACTGACTTGAGGATGAACGACTCGCCTGCAACAAAGCTGCGTAATCATTGTCTGCCCCGCGGGCATTAATAGCTGCACCGTCATTTAATACAATCTCAACTGCTTGTTCCGCATCATCATTGCATGTAGCCCACTGCAGCTTAGTCTGTCTACTGTTGTCCTTAGCACACCCACTAAAAAGTCTTTTTATACTTTTATAACTTGCAAGTCCATGAGCTTTTAAAACAATGTCATATTCGTCCTTTAAGACAGCCTTTGTTTTATCCAATTGCGTGAAAGCTTTCCTTGAGAGTTTTTTTAGACTGACCTGTTAAAAAATGACCAAGTTAATAAGAGCAAGTAATAAAGAGGGAATCCATTTAATACTACATGTAAGTAGATTTTTGCATATAATAGTTTATATGGGTTGCCCTGTATTCATATTGCAGATATACGTGTTCTACAAAAAATGAAGTGGTGGTCGCGGTTGTTATCGTTACAAGTCTATGACCCCATAAGTTAAAGCAGAAATGTGAGACAGTTTTTCGGGCACAATCTGCCATAACTTACTGGTTGATGAGGGCATGGCCTGGCACCATTCTTCAGCAGCAACTGCACTATGGAGTGGTGGTTTTGACGTTCGGCTTTTTGCAGAGGGGTACGCTGAAACTAAAAACATTATATCGAAGCAAGGTTAATTGTGTTACCTACTTTTGACTATTTATCATAGAAGCATTTTATTTGACTATCTATCATAGAAACATTAATTCTACATAACTGCATATCTCCGCCTTGTCTACACAACGTGACGCAACGTATTCTAAACAACAAAAATTACACAGCAGAGCCATTAAAAACAAAACAAAAGAAAACAAACAAGAAATTCGGTGCGTTTCACATGCGCATTACCCTCAGGACATAAGTGTTGTAGCATGGTCTCAATAATTGTTCTTTAACAAAATCTAATGTTAACCTCAAAAGAAAAAAATCTTTAACAAGGAAACTATTTAAAACGATTTGGGTAGCCTGCAGGATTAAAATCTTTTCCTGTTGTTGTTTCTGTTTGTTTTAGAAAAAAAAAAATAACACAACAAAACAAAAACAAAAATGCAGCTCCTTCCAAGGGCTCTAACTATCGATCTCGCAGGAAAGGTTATTGGTAATCCAAAACAGCAAAGATAAAAGAGCAGTTCCCCTCCAGTAGGGAAGCAAGTCCTATTCTGTTGCAGGGATGCTACAATTCCAGCAACATCCATAAACGGCTGCAATGTAGCTGATTCATTTAATGTGTAAAAATGCAGTGGCAAAGCACTCAAATGAAATACAGGAAGAGAGGAGGAAACATAGCAACCCTGTAAGGGTGATATAGGTAAGTGTTAAAGGCCGATTTCGCAGGTGGGATTAGAGCAAATGCCAGTGCAATGAAACTTTCAAATTAAAACGTGTTCTAAGAGATCATAATTTATTGATGACCGGAAATAAATTTACGAACGAACCCCCTTTGCAGATCAATGATGGGGGACTAAAAACACAAGCTGTTAATTTTCAGCTTTTAGCAAATAGTGGCTGAATGGAAAACAAACTTTGAGTGTTTTAGCTCAGTTTAAATTACCCTGCAAGAAAACGCTAACAGTATCGGGAAAGTCGTATGGGCACAAATAAAAATTGTTAGGAGTTTGAGTACAAATGAAATTCGAAAGCCTTACATGAAGTATAGAGTTGGTGTTGACAAAATGATTCATGTGCTGCGTCCTTGAAAGCATGTGATCCTGATGATTTCCCTAACCTGAAAATTCTTCCCAAGATTGCGGCTTCTCTTCCCATGACATCGTGCGAGTGCGATGAGATGCACCATGGGCAAGAGTAGGCTCTCCTCACTGGCTATCATGCATATCAAGTACGATATGCCTATCGATCTGGACGAAGTTGTCAGTTTATTTGAAGGCCTCCACCCGAGGATGATGCAATTGCAAAGTTTGCTTTACGAAACGGAATAGTGCTGTTGTGAGTTGATAATTAAGTAGCCCATGTTGTGGCCCCAGTATATCCTAGTATTATATGTAGTCAAAATAATCCCACCATTGAAGATATTTCGTTCACAGGCGTTCCGGATCTGACAAATGGAGTCTCGAAAGACAAAAGGCGGGGAATACGATTTTGGGATACCTAGGTGATACGTGTTTAATACATTAAGCGTTTGCTCCGAGATTTCGTGCAGTCGACACGCTGAGTTTTGTAGAATGTTTCGTGTACTTAGTCGGTATGTATCACTATGTATGAATGTTCCAAGTCAAACGGAAATATTGTTGTTATGACTAAAAATACCTCTTATTTTAGACTTGATCGAGTTTTAAATATTCATGTGGAGACTACTAAAAATAGCATTTCCAGGTTTCTAGATTTCAACATTTTCTGGAGTAGCAATTTACCCAAGGAACCCCTAGAGGCTCGCGCCTTTTGCGCTCGCAGTATTTCCCGTTGTTAAGAAATATTCGTATCAGTACAGCCACTGATATGCTTCGAATTCGATATGCTTCGTCACTCTGTTTTCTTTTCCCTCCCATCCCACCCACTACAGTAATCAATTTCTGCGTCAACACATGTATGTCCCCTTCGGTTTAGAGTTTCAACCTGATGCACTGGTATGACATCTAATTAGTCAATTTGGTTGTCTCTATCTTGTACTTCTACCCTGAAGACAGTTGTGTTTTTTCAAAAAAGGTGGGAATTGGGATAAAGTGCTCCTCTCGTCACACTTTTGCCCCCATAGACTCGACATTTTTTCCACTCCTGGGATATACATATTAGTGGGTTAGTGGGGGCCGTAGGGAGGCCTACGATTGGTCAGAGCCAACCCTAAGAGGAAGCCCAACTCCCTCCCTTATTGCGATCTGTGCACCTTCCATCTTTACCCAAGAACGGACACAGTCACAGTCGGCCCTGGAATAGGCCCACTCCCTCCTCCATACCGGTATGTGTACCACCCTGGTGGTAAGTTCTTTTTTGCTCACAAAAATCCATGATTCCAAATACGAGGAAGCTGATTAAAGGAAACTGGACACTGAAAACTTCGTAATAAGTAAAACATTTGTAAACTGTATCGAAATACCTTAAAAACGCAAAAAAATAAAAGAAGAAATTCGAAAGGTTTTTTTCTCAAGCTTACGGTTATAAGGGTTTAATTTTATTCTTTCCGGACACTGTTTGAAAATCAAAGATTTCTACCACCCATTTTTTTCCTGTGAATAGCAAATAAAAAGTTGTGTATTAACACAACGAAAAGCTTAACTAACAAATTACCATTGCAATAACACAAAATGTACTATGTACCATAGTAAGATAGGGGGTTGTATTAATACTGTTGGTAGGATAAATTTAATAATTGGCCAACATAAAGAGATTCCTGTGTGAATCACTAATACTAGACAAACGACAACCTCCCTAACCCCTCGCCCCCCCTTCATGGCACTATATTGTTCAATTGAAGAACGTTTACTGACTCACCCTGTCCTTAGCGTTGACGTTCGCACCGCGTTCTAAAAACAGTTTGACGACTGATTCCTGTCCATACCAACAGGCAAGATGAAGAGGCGTCAAAGAAAACTACAGAAAAGAGGACAAAAAACGTTGTTATATAAGAAATATTTGTTAACAAATAGAACTCTTATGTCCTTACCCGAGAAGTATTGTTAATCAATTATTTAATACGAGTTTTCCACTTGAATGAGTAATTATCAATTCAGGACAGGTTGAGTGGTTGTGGGCAATCCTTTGTACTCCTCTATAGGGCGCATTGTTGATCACACGGGGACGCGGAGTTATGTGTCATTCTTCCTCGCTACTTCAGTGTGAAAGGACGTCGACCCACAGCTATTTTCACCCATATGGCATCTGTGTCTTCCTCGCCCAGTAAACAGAGATCAGCCAATGCAGTACCTCATTTTATAGTCATAGAAACGAGAGAAAGACATAAATAGAGGTTGAAATAAGCCAAATAGTACAGTGCAACGATGGCCTATTATAAAATAAATGGGATGTTGTTGTACTAAATTTTAGCCTCTTTACTATGTCCTTGTTAGCTAGTTTACAAGAAAAAAACCAAGTGTAACACTAAAATTGAGCCCAATTGCAACGTTGCAGGTCATTCCATTAATAATTACAAAAACTTGGCCCACAGCTGACGTAGCTGACTAAAACAGGTGTCGATGTAAAGACAAGGTCGAGGACGTTTTGAATCTTCTGACATATCGATGAGTGTGCACTTAAGTTAAAAATAAACCAAAGCAGTTTAGGCCATGGACAGAGATCGAAGGAGAGGAGATAGATTTATGGCCAATAGGCACAGAAAAAGACAAGGCAAGACAAACGGGGAAAATTCAGATGAAGTTTTCGAGTGATTGAAACCTTTTAAACTCCCTTTGTGTGATTAGGCCGCACTTGATGTGGCACCAAAGTTCGCAGGAGTCGCAGGATGGGAACGATGGTTTCGAGCGACGGAATTACCACAAACAGAGCATCTTTCTGGGCCAGGATTCAAGCTAATGTCGCCACTAGAAGTTAATCTCGTCAGTTGAGAGGTAGGAGTTCGGGTAAAGAATTAACTTGAAGGACATATAACCTGCACTTCTAGAACAAGCCAATTCAAGATGATGCTTCAGCCGGTCAAGAAGAGGGGAATGGAAAAGTGTTTTAACAAAGTCATGGTGAGAATTAAAGCCTCCAGAAACTGGGACATGATAATGATGAATAAAAGCTTCAAATTGGAAGAGCCCGAAAAGACACGTCTTAGCGCTATGAACACGACCGCTGACATATGCTAAGGACAATAAAACACATCCTACAAAAGACTCTTCTGAATTAGGACGGCACGTCTTACATAGGACGCCAAGAGCTCGTATAAATGGTTCGCGTCTTGTTCGAGTCTTATATCCGGGCAACGGCATTCCAACATAACACGTGTTAAATAACGCATACGCACAATGCGTTAACGTGTTTCATAAGGCGCAAAGGTCATTTATACGAGGATTTCTCGTCAGAAGCGGGCTTAAAACTAAATTAACATATTAAGCTGTACAAGACACAAACCTGATCTTTTTTATCCACATCTTCACCACTTTCAAGAAGTACTTTGATTGTTTCGAACTGTCCATTGATAGCAGCCTTGTGCAGAGGGCCCCTCGACGCCTGTATTTTTTTTTTCAATCCATTAGTCAGAGAGCAATCTTAATTATACCTTACACTATTGGTCCAGCTACTGCCACTAATGAATGGATATTTTCTGCTAATAAATTACAGCAAAAGGTCTCTCTCCATTTCTACAACTTTACTATCTGTACCTCTATGAGTACTGTAGATAATGACTGAGTACTGAGAATAAGTCCTCCAGGGCGTTCCATGGTAAGAGGGCTCTCCAAGTGAACAAAGAAAAATATTCTTTACTATGTCTTTGCGTTTCACGCGTGATAAATGGGCGCAGACGAAAAAATTGGCGGCTTTTGTTCTATGGCCAAATCTCACCGAAAGATGTAAATCGCCATTTTTTTCACGTAAACGAGTAAGGTGACTCATCGTTTTTCCTCATAAAATTAAGCAAAAACATTTCTTTCTGGAAAAGAAATATGAAACAATTCCTCGTCCCAAAAAAGAAGCAGCCGTCGGAAACATGTTGAAACATGCACTAGCTATACACAATGTGCCGCTTTACCTAAAAGAGTACGGGGACCCTACGTGTTAAATTCCTTCCAGATAAACTACCAATACAAAGTTAAACAAGAGGAATGATCTTACGATTTTGTAACTAAAAATAAACAAGCGTCTACTGAGTTAAATTTATGTAAAAGTCGTTAACAATATGGCATTTCCAGACCTGCCCAGGAGCGAAGTCTTTCTTATATTTTCTTGCTTTGTAAAAATACACAAGCTTCTCAGCTATCTCCATATGGATCAGGACTTGCTTCTTGTCCTAGGATGATTTAAAATGAAAATATTTCTGAACCTCGTTTCTTGTTTACAACTACACAACAAACTCAGTTATGAACGCTCTGATATTTTTCTATGTACCCATACACCTTTGCACGATTTACTACTGAAAAAAATGGGTCACTTGAAGATTATAAAATAACATACAACGAAGACTACCAAATAGCGATCAATAGCCAATAGTGCCCTGTAATCAGCGCCCTTCTCTGAATAAGCGCCCACCCCTTTGACCAAAGTAGCGAGATAAATCCAGGGTGGCACTCGGCCACAAAACTTAGAAAAAATCCCAACATTTTGCTCAGTTGTTACGAAATCCGCGAAAATAACGAAAATTACAAATTTTTGCCGGCCCATCGACGAAAAATAACAGAGAAATGCAAATGAGGCAATGGAAGGCTCTCGACGAAACAGCGAAAATTATGAAACCCACGTTTCTTGTTTACAAAACCAACGAAAACTGCAAAAATAACAACATTTCTTGAGGCCATCAACAAAAAATTAACGGAAAATGCAATGAAAACTAAAAATTACGTAAACAGTAGTTGCGGTTACACTTGCCTTTTTAGCAATGGGCAAATGGCTGTTGCCCATGGGCAAGCAGCTTTTTGTGTGTGACCTATTTCCCCAATGGTGAATTTGCCTCGGGGAAATTCTTGTGGATACGTCAGAACAACAGCAGAACAGACCAACTTCGATATATTAAAATTCATACTAAGCTAAGAGGCTAAGGGGAATAAACCAAAAGAATGCATTCTTCATTACTGAGCTTCAAGATGATTTCATTTGTTTAATTCCCCAGCAAAGCCTGTTACAGGGGATATTTCGGAACTTCCATCACGTTTTTCTGTTGAACAAATGATTTTGCTAATATTAAATTGTAACGGGTGGTTTGGGCCCTTTGACGATAAATATGGCAAATTGTTGATATAGAAATTAAATAAAAGGGGGGTTAAAATATATCCCGGGCGTAAACCTCTTGAGTATGAGAAAGATCGAGTTTTGTTTTCCCCTATTCTTACGGAACATGTTAAATTGCAATGAAGTGGTAGTGGTAGTGGTAGCATATACTACATACTAGTTATTAAAAGTAGTAGTATATACTTCTACTACGACTACGACTACGAGTACCACTACTACCACGAGACTACTACCACTACCACTACCACTACTACTACTACTACTAATAATAATAATAACGGTTTTATTACTAGTACTTCCACCTGGTGGCTGTTCGCCCACTAATGCCCTAACTGCAGTATATTATTTCAAAAAATCAAGCTGATTTTAAATTAAAAACGATATATACAATAAATTAAGGATAAGTACAAAAGGTTTGATAGAAAAATATGTACAATTAAAAGACAGCGTGGTTAAAAAAAAAAATAAAAATCAGTCATACCCTTTCTCCTTCGGAGAACACGAGCTTCTTCGCTAACCTAACGAACTTGTTATAGTCAGACTCTTGCCTTAACCTATCAGGCAACGTATCTCGCTGCTGAATCCTGAAAACGGCTGCTTTCTGTTGGAATAGCCAAATTTGGTGCTTCAAGAGATCTTAAGTTATAGGCACTGACAGTATGGAATTTAAGGCGTAAGTAATCAGGCCAAACATCATCGTAGAGAGCTTTGTGAGTGATTTTCAGTAGTGCTAGGTCTCTTCTTTTTATAATTGAAAGCCAGTTTAATTCAGTTCTGCAAGTCCTCTAAAACAGCGTACAACCCAAGTACGTAGCCCGCGCATTTCGTTTGAACGCTTTGCAGCCGTTTCATTTGGTATTCTGGAAGGGAATAGAAGACGACGCACCCGTAGTCCAGTTTAGACATCACTAATGACTTCACTACCTGCTTGCGAACATGGGATGCTGCGAGGTTGCGCAGTTTCCGGAGAACCGCCAATGCTGCAGAAGTACAGTCACGTGGTCAGCCCATGTTAGGTGTTCGTCCATGTGGACCCCCAGTGTCTTAGCTGTGTTGACACGTTCTAGCAGCTTCCCGTTACAGCTCACAGTTGGATAATAATCGTGTAACGCTTAAGCTCGAGACATCTGGCGGGTGGAAACAAGCATCCACTTTGCTTTAGCCTCATTCAAAATGTTCAGACCTATTGATTATGACGCTTTAGGTCGAGAGTTCAGGCCACATAAACCTCTCAGTAGGGAAATCAGAAGAAGGATAGTTGATTTGTATTTGAGCGGAGAGGGACAGAGGGCAGTCTCACGAGCAGTTCGTGTTAATCATGGCGGAGTGTGCATTATTCGTAAATATCAAACGTACGCGTATGGCACATATTTTCCCTTTATTCAGTACGGAAATCAGAAGAAGGATAGTTGATTTGTATTTGAGCGGAGAGGGACCGAGGGCAATCTCACGAGCAGTTCGTGTTAATCATGGCGGAGTGTGCATTATTCGTAAATATCAAACGTACGCGTACGGCACATATTCTCCCTCTAATCAAGGAGGACGAGGAAATCCTTCTAAACTTTCAGACAACGTTATAAAATCCATAGAATTGTTCAAATTGATGAAACCTAGTATGTTTGGAAGAGAAATACGCGAAAGGTTGTTGAACGATGGGGGAAACGTACCGGCTTTATCGATGGAAACAAGGGAATAAAGAACAAGCTCTGCATGTCATACAAATAATACTCGATAAAACAGAGGATACATCCGTCGCTATTTCTTATTTCCACAAATATCGAACTTTCCATCTCTGATTTGAAGCTTTTTTCCTGGAATCCTACATTTCAACGAAATTACGTAGTTTCAATGTGATCTTCGCTACGCCACTCAAAGTAGCGCGTTTATTGGAAGACTCGGATCACGTGTCCAGTTTACTGTGAAAGGAATTTAGAAATTCTACGAATATTGTGAATACGGTAAAACGCGGTCTTACAAACGTGATTTATATGAGTATCCATACTAACTGAATTGTCAAATATCGTTCCCAAATTCCTTACGTTAACCGAATTATCAATCGTATGATCACCTACATGAAGTACTGATGGATTTAATTTATTCAAGTGGTAACGAGTTCCAATAACTAGAAATTCAGTATTATCATCATTGAGTAACAGCCGTCCTTCAATAAGCCAGTTCCTTATATCTTTAATACAATCCTCCATTGCGCAAATGGCGTCATCCTGGGCGTTAGCATCATCGGGCTTGAAACTCACATATAGCTGGGTATCATCCGCGTAACAATGAGCCTCGGGAGATGACGTTCGATAACCTTGAACAGCGTAGAAGTGTACATAACAAATAGTAGAGGACCTACATAGGACCCCTGAGGTACACCACAGTTAAGATAACGTTGATTAGACAGAGAAGAGGAGAGAGGACCGGCAATATGCTCACTTACTAACTTACTAACTTAACTTAACAGGTATTTGATCGACACCGGTTGAGCAGTCTGAGTGGAGGTGGTGTATTTCCTTCATTACGTCGTCGAAAGTTACGTGACATAACTTAAATGATCGTTGTGAGTGCTCTGGTAATGACTTTGCCAGCTCCAGAAGATCAGATGTTGCATCCGGGGTGGTACCCAGTATCATTTCGTTAGTGGCGATGAAGTATTTGTTGAGTTGATCTGGATCGGCTCTTGGGGGACTGGTACTAGGGTTAAGCACCCGATGGATGATCCTCCATACTTGTTTAGGGCGTTTTGAGAAGAGAGCCGTCATAAAAAAGGACCTCTTTGCCTTACCAATAACCACCTTGATCTATTTAGGGATAGCCCTAAAAGCAGCCCATGATTCATCATTATTCGCATTGTGCGCATCCAGTCTCGGTTTATCTCTCTCAGCTTGTAGCTGTCTGATATCAGCCGTATGTAGCCACGGGGCAGGGAGGCGGGTTATTTTAACCCTCTTCAGAGGCGCATGTCGGTCTAAGCACTCACTAATAAGAGTGATTATTAAGTCGACCATTTCATTCGGAGACTCCACAGCGTAAACGATAGAAAGTGGCAGAGTGGAGAAATCATGCTTGTTCACCCGCCCTTTTTTTTTATTTTTGAACAAGAATCAGTTAAACTGTAACGAGCGCCAAAAAGCCTTCGTAGGCGCCGCCCCAACAGGAAGATCTGTACGATGTAATAAAAACTAGTTGGGTTTGGCCAGTTGAACGTGACTTGACGTTACCCAGTATAAGCTGTGGCTTTGAAAGTATGAGGAAAAAAGGAACAAGTGCCATGTACACTGCACAGCACACAGCAAAAATTGTTTCATGGCTGATTATCCCATGAAATCATGGATTTGGAGGAGTTAAAAGTGTACCGACAACTTTTATATATAAGTAGTGCTATTTGAAAACCTTCAACTAGTCTTCAAAATATAGACTAAGAGTAGTACTTTCTCTCAACATAAACTACACCAAGCGACTTATGCGGGCGCATGAGATTATTGGGAACCACCATTTCCTGTTTAACGAAAAAAAGGAATATAGCCATTGAATGCAGCTTATAAGATGCCAGACAATAAGTAAGCGCCTCAATTTCATGCAGCTAGGTAGGATATGACATAAAATTGACGATGTCAACAAGTCTAAGAATCGGGGAAAATATATTTCCTTCCACCGGAGACACAGATTGGGTAAACTGATTGCAGGCATCTCCACTTATTCATTTATTTATTTGTTTATTTATTACACTCATTATCTTAATTGGAATGAAAATAGTTTTGGGAACGAACTCTTGATGGAAATGTTAGGCCGCGCTCTAGAATAAGAATTGACCAAATAGATTCAAGAAGAACCGCACAAAATTTGAAATTGTACCTAACAGAGTGACCCATGTATTAAGAGAGCGTCTCTTGTTCTCACACACGACCCGTTAAACATCCAAATCAATCGACAATAAGAATGCTTAAGGTGGGGGCCCACTTTAACAATGGGTACTCTTTGGCGGGAGCCTTCATATCCTTAGAAAAATTATTTTAAACTAACAATAATTAATTTAAAAACTTATTATAATTAATTAAAAAGTCAAAATGCTTTCAGTCGGTGTAGCCATATTTTCCTATCAGCAAAGAAAAACCGATGCAAATGGAAAACAAAAACCGGTTTTTTTTTTCACGCCGGGTCAGCTTTACTCCTGAAACTGCAATATAGGAACTACTTTTACAGTTTTTATCCCTTTGAGCCTAACGTTTGCAGGATGGTAGAATTTTGTATTCCAAACAATCAGGTATTTTTTGTTTTTCGATTTTAACGGTTAAGGTATCAGCCACCCTTCAGGACCGTCCGCGCGCGGATCGCTGTAGCATTAGTTGTTTTTATAAAAACCCCTATAAACTATATATATTTTAGAAGCTTAATAATTCCAGATTATGGATTTGAACTAACAAAAACGATTTACTTAAATGTGTTGCGAAATTGGAACGCTTTGTGTAAAAGTACACGTCTCTATAAATCATGTTCCACTCCCGCCGGAAATAAACGGAAGAAACAAATAACACCGCATTCGCTTCTCAACACGTTCCACTAAAAAGCCGTGTCTCAGATTTTTGACAAGTGCGTTTGTTTTTCTTTTATTGGCAAATGAAGTTGGGGAAGGCAATTAGTCAACACTCTCTGTGGAAAAAAAGCTCTAGCTTTAAAATGAAAAGGAGTATTAAAATTCGCAGACACGTTTTTGTAGAAGAGATATATGGCATCACTCTGGCCAAATTTTTGCCAAATTGATTGAAAGGCTGCCGACTTGGAGTTCAAAACGTACGAGTCGATCAGCAAAATTTGCGTTCGGAGATAAAATAGAAAATACATTTTTGGCGGCATCCTACCTGGAATGAGATTATAACACCCAAATGTTTATTCTGATTGATATCAGATAGGGATCAATTTTCTCTAACAATAGGACTTTGACAGGTAACATGTAACAGGAACAAACTTTCGCGGCAAGCGAGTGAACAGTTTAATTCTCCGTTGGAAAACTTCCACCCTTTTACACCACGAGAAGCACGGTTTAATTCTTTCTCGAACAAAAGTTTTGCCTCTCCTTCGATCTTTTTTGTATGATCCGCCCAGGCGTTTTTGTTGATCGACGCCAGGCCAACGAAAGTCGGAAACTACAAAACTTTGAAGCCGCCGAATGTCCACCACCGATTGCTCGAAGGCCAAGAACTGAGGCCCGGTTTATTTCAAACGCTCTGCTCTTCTCGGAAGAATTAAAAACAGAATTTGTCTTGTGCGACAGACAGCTTTCATTCTCGCACTGGATTCTCCAGGTAGAACCAAGTCCATGCTTAGTCGCTACATTTTCCATGACTTGGACTCTTCCCTGGCAAAATCGACAAGATACAGACTCGTCCAGTTTCTCAAGCAGCTTTTCGCTCGATACGATAGCTCGACCGCTTATTGTTTTCCACGTTCCATCAGCTGATGGGGTCGATGAGCTTTATTGGCTTTCTTCACCTGGCTCTTCAAGCTGGATTTTGGAGCGGCTTGCACTCTCAGCAACAGCAGCATTTTCGCTTTTCTGAATATCCAACTCCTCGAGCCACTTCTCTAGCGATAAAATGAGCCTTTGTCGCTCTCTGCCAATTTTGCGGCCCATTCTTTGCCAAACTCGCTCTTCGATTTCTCTTTCGCTCTCGGTTTCGATGACGAAAACGGACACGACCTTTTCTCTTTTTTTTGGGTGGCATTTTCACCGAAGCAAACGCTAAATATCCACGGAGAATACTAAAGGCTATAAACAACGCGAAGACAATTCGCACGTGTTGTGTCGAAGCACGCACTCGGTATCACGTTACTAGTTCACAGGCAAGTTAATTGATATATGACACGGGTATGACACATCTTGTCAACGATCAATTAAGATAATTAACGACAAAAAATCTTTTACCCCCGATATCTTTGGACAGAAATAATATTTTCTTCTAATTTTTTGTTTAAAAGAAAGCTCTCAAGCATATCTATTTGAAAACGTTGAAACCTCAAATATGGAAAAATGGCAATTTTAAGGGTGGCTGATACCTTAAGGAAGTAAAATGACGTCATATGATTGACAGCAAAATTTTAAGTTTAACTAGTGTCGTAACAAATAGATAATTTTCAAAAAGCACGGCGAGAGAGAAAAATGCGATATAATTCTTTTAAAAGATCAATTGCTTTAGCATATATAGCATCTTGAAATGTGCTTATGTTTCTTAAAATAGTAACAAAATGGCGGGAAATTCAAGAATTAAAGCTTAATAACTCCTAAACCAATTGAGCTTTTCAAAAAAAATTTTTAAAAAATTGGTTTTGTCGGATGGTACACTTTAAAAATTATTTTATTTTTCACATGGTTAGTTTTAATTTTGCCGTCAATCATGTGACCTCATTTCCCGCCAAAAACCGTTAAAATTTGAAAAACAAAAACATACGATTGTTTGGAATACAAAGTTCTACAATCCTACAAAGTTCGAGCTCAAACAGATACAAACTTTAAAAGTAGTTCATTAGAGTACAATTTCAGGCGTAAAGCTGACCTGGCGTTTTTTGAGATACCCACTATCCTGCGATTTCATAATTCCGCTAGACGGCTGGGCAAAACTCCTCCCATAATTCAATATGGACTGTGTCTCTTTGGCATAGAAATTAGTAGCCTTGAAGTAACGACAGTGGCAGTATAATTTGAAGTTAAAAGACAGTTCAAATGCTATATGACAATCATTTACGTACATGATTTTGTGCTAAAGGTATAACAAAATCACAATTTACTGTACAATGCAACCCTCCCAAAACGTTGTTGACCTACCTCGCTTTCTTCCTCTGACGTTGATTCTGAACCAAAATCAGCTAAACTGGAACGAGCCATGAAAGACCTTCTTCGCTCAGGACGCGGCGAACGGACGATCTGCTGGGTGTAATAAATAGAGCGTTTTTACTCACGTGGCCTGTAGCTATGCAAATTTACTGAAACAATATGGCCGCCGATTTATTGTGGTGGGACACCAACAAAGCGGACGTGACGCCTTGTGAAAATAGTGTCGAACACTAGCTGCGTTTGGACAAATTTGGATGGCAGACTCGTCTTAATGTTATCTAATATTTTGCAGGCGAAACATCTGTTGCTTACATGTTGTAGTTATACAGCTCGAGTGAGCTGACAATCTAAAATTTTCAGTTTTACCACCGCAGACTTCAGATACCCAAACTTGTCAAACGTTTGATTCTTTACGGCTACGTTAACAAACGCCCTTATGCGAATCGTTAATTGGAACTGCTTTCGCCTCTGTCAAGAGTCTCTGTTACACTGGTTCTACTACTTTGATAAGTTGGAGGATCCGCAAGTGCGGCAACCTACAAGTTCTGAAATGAAATCCGAATAGGGCTTCTTCCGGTGCCCAGAGGGTTCATACTCCATGCAAATTGAAGCGGAGCAAATCTAAGCGATAGCTTGCTGAACGAGATCATTGCATAGAGGTTCCAAGTCTTGTAGACTATGGGGTGCACTGGTGCGCATAGCATCAGGAGCATAACGTCATGGAATCCCCGACTGACATTTCGAGCACGCGGAGATTTCTCTGTAGTTTGCCTCGTTTCTTTGGTGGAAAAAGACAAAAAGGGACACGAAGTACAACAAACGTATTCTACACTTGATTATATACCAGACAGGAGAGAAATTTGGTCTAGACTGTAAACACTTTGTTCTATATGTAACGAATAAGAAGTTGACCCACATGTTTACATTAGCGAGGGAAGTTCGAATAGAGTGGAAACCCGCTCTACGGACACCTGCGTACTACGCACACCCGTATACATTTAACGGACAGTTTCATTTATCCTGATGAAAATGTCATATATTTCTTCTAATATATCATTAGTGCAACCTTCCCAAAAAGTTGTTGGCTTACCTTGCTTTCGCTCTCCATCTCTGACATTAGGGAGTTTAAGATACGGAGACTACGAACTACGAACTACGAACTACGGCTGGACGAGCGTTGTCCTTCGTTTGTAGCACTGGGTTGAGTCGTGCAAATATAGAACGTTAAGATTGCACTACAGACAGTAGACTACGAGAGAAGAGGCGGAGTGGGAAACAACACGCAAAGATTTTCTTGTTTCCATCACAGTTCACAAAAATGCAAGTCACTTTTGCATGTGATCTTATCTTTAGAACAATGAACAAATTCTTCCATACTTGAAGGAAGCAATTACACGTAATTACTTCGGGTGAAATTGGTGAACAAAGTTTTGGTTACACAGGTTTAATTTTTTTCGCCCATGAATACTTATGTCAAATATTAAAGAAATAGACAGAAATAGTAATAGCTCATTTACTAGATTTAGAAGGTGGATTTCTCCGACTACTGATTTGATGTAGTTTGAAGTATTGAAATGCCGAGTTTCGATTGTCTCGAAGATGTTTACATCATTTTCATTCAGCAAATGCGATACAAAAACTCGCATAAACAAAGGTTACACAAGTAGAAAGACACACTAATCAGTTCGAACAAACATTGAAACTTTTCAAGTGCGAAGAAAAAGTAAATTACCTGCATGATTTCTCTTCTCCTCGGCCGTCAATCTGAAGCTTATTTAAATATGAGCCTAGCTAGATAAAAATGTAGTCACAACAGTGGATTAAAAGCGTAAATCTGAGCAGAAATTAGACAAAACTTACATATTTCGCTTCTCTCTCACTTAAAGCAGGTGAATTGAAAACTTTTTTACGAAAAGACGAGATTCTTGAATTATCGGGACGGCAAAATACGAGCAAAATGTTCTCCGTAGTCCCGACTACGCGAAACAGCTCAACAACTCACTGTAGCCGCAGGGCTACGCAGGAAAAATGAACAGTCACGTGGTTTTGCTCATGCGCAGTAGCATGTTTATCCGTAGCCGTAGTCCGTAGTCGCCGTATCTTAAAATCCCTATTGATTCTGAACCAGAGTCTGCTGAACTCTAGTTAGTTGCCCAGTGCTGACGGGTTTACCCTGGCTAAATATGTTATTATTATTATTATTATCATTATTATTATTTTTCACTCAGGAAGCATCGAGCGGACGATCTGCAGTGTGTAATAAATAGAGCACTTTTACTAACGTGGCCTGCAGCTATGCAAATATACTCAAAAAAAAAAGGAAGCGATTGCATAGGAAAAGAGCTGAACTCCCACAATACAGCTTTGGGACACCAATATGGCCCCCGTTCTATTGTTTAGGATACTAACATAACAGACCTGGGGTCATATGAAAAGGGTGTCACATACTAATTGCGTCTTGTTGGTCAGGCGACAAATGTCTGCCCATACGCAGAGCAAAAAATCGCGTGGCTAAAAGGCGAAATGCCCGCCAAATAATGTCAGATAAATATCCGCGAGATGAAAGAAGAAATGGTAGCTTGTTTCTTAGTTGTAGTGTTGTTTTTATTGCCACTGTAAGGGATGAAAAATGTTTTCGGTCGACATCTTTAGTGAAATGTGTTATCGAGAAGATTATGCATCCTGGAACAACAGGAGGGTAATTTGTATGCGCATGCGTCAACATACGGTCTTAAAATCGTCCCACACAGGCATTTTTTGCGAATTGTTTACGTTCACTATCAACATTTGCAGCCTGTTTTGTGGAGTTGAATGTTGTATATTGGGAGAAAATCTCGCCTTTCTCCCCACATTAAGTTAATGATTCAGTAATGAAATTAAGAACACTTCCGTGAGTGAAAAATGAATGGTGCTTTGATGAGGGCTGTGAAAAACCACCGCTACAGTAATTTTAGCTTTCTCCACTGGCGCGCTCTCGTTAAGAAATAAAATTCACCCACTCCGACTATAAATTTTAATTTAATGTAATGATGCCACACAGATTGTGTTTTGAAAATTTAAAAAAAACAACTATCATTTAGGAATTTGTTTAAACAACAGGTTTTCCCTCTTTTCCTTCTCGCCGCTGTGTTAAAACATAAACTAAACTCTGACTGAGCAAATCTTATTTTTGCCGCACTAAGTTTTACATTATTGAAGGTGATTTATGCCCTATAGGCATAAATAGATTGTGCTCGGCAACTTTTGAGCAACTTTTAGCGTTCTGAGCAACTCTTTGTAGTACAGTCTAACCTCTCCTTACGGACACCTCTCTATTACGGACAGTTCGTTTGGTCCCAGAAAAGCCAAAAATCATACATTCCCTACCTCTATAATACGGACACCACTGTAAAGCGGACACTTGGTTCTGTCCCTTTGGTGTCCGTATTAAAGAGGTTTGACTGTACCAGCAACCTAGGGCAACTTTTGCCTTCCTTGGCAACTTTTGAGCAACAAATTGATATAAAACCGATCCAAACAATAAAAGGTCGTTTCATTTCGAAGGATTTTATTAAAACTGGTTTTATCAAAACTGATTTTATTAAAACTAAGGATATACAATAAAATGTCAATAAAATAGCACTTGCATTACGCCCACGAAATCTGGACAGCGGCTATCTGTATATCTGTAAGAGTATATTGATTACAACCAGGGGGGGGGTGGTGAACTTGGTAGTTTGTTTGTCCGGACGATCTTGGCCATCGTGACGTCACGAAGGGAGAAGCGCGCAACTTCGAGGAGTTTTCGAAAATGGCGCAGTTGTCATTTCCAAATGCTACTTTTAAAGTTGGTTTTCCTGGATATTGACGCTCCAAAATGGTTTTTGTCACGGTAGGATAGTGCAATTCCAACATCTCTTTCCGAAAAGGTGAGTGAAATGTGTATTAATCCGAAAAATAACGCGTATGAGAGCTGTAAACAGTTTCGGTCAATTTCCTCGAGTGGAATAATGTGCCGCAAAAGTTTGCATGTTCGCACAGTAATATCGCATTTTCTCGAAATCGGTGAGGTGTTGAACATCGAAACTTGGCATAAGGGTGGGTTACTTCTATTGGAAAACATTGTCTCTGAAGTTAATTGAGATAAACTTGCAGAAAAAATGATCAGTCCATTCGAGTGTGCCAGCGTAGCCTCTAAGCTGATGCAATGGTGTCATTACTTTGCTGTTATCTCCAATAATGCCAATAGTATCACCTATTCAAGCCGTCTTTTCGGGATAAGTAAATTTTAAAGTAGTTTCTGATAGAGGGAAAGTATAGTTGCAACAGCTCTTTCCGAGAAGGAGAGTTAATTGTATTATATTCTGATGATAATTACCTCGTAAACAGTCTAAACAGTTTAAGCCAATTTTTTCAAGTGGAATATTTGTCGCAGAAATTTGCATGATCGCATATTAACATCGCATGTCTTAGAAAATCGGTTTGGTGTGGAAATTCGAAACTTGGCAGAAGGGTAGATCAGCAATAGTGGAAAACATTGTCCTTGATGTTTAATGGGAGAAATTAGCAGTAAAAATGATCAGTCCATTCGAGTGAGCTTATATTGATATAAAGAGATGACCTCGACTCGGTTACCCCGGCACAATTTAAGTCAATTATTTTTCGGTTTTAACAAAAAGTAAACCAAAGACTTCCCTCAACACTATGTATCTATAATAATTACACCAGGAATATATATATTTTTAACACTTGAAGGTTGTACCATATTGTTGAAGCAAAGGATATTTCTCTGCAATACCTATAAGCTTACTTTAAGTTTTCATAAATAGCAAAAAAAATTAATAAGATTTACATACAACTCCAAACATGTACATCTGTTATGCATGAAGCAATTTCATATCGTTCCATATCAATAGTTAGTGCGAATGGAGTCAAACATGTACAGTGAAACTTGTATAATGTAAGTGGACACAGCAGAGAATGCTGTAGTGCTCACTTAATACAAAGTTTCTTCCTACTACATACAGGTTTCAATAGAAAATGTCATATGAGGCAGACCTGCCAACTCTCACAATTCTGCCGTGAGTCTCACGATTTTTTAACTTTTCTCACGGTCTCACGACAAGACTCCCAATCTCATGGTTTTCTGGGAAATATTCTGAATTGAAATATTACCTTGTTGAATAAAAACATAAATTTTGTGGGGAAATTCTTGTGCCTGGATAAGCTTTGACTATTTTAGCCATGAAGTTGTCTTAGCCCAAAGAAATGACTCTGCTGTATGTTTCGTCACAGTGATAACCTATTTTCTGGCCTCTTCAAGTCATCAAAGAAAAAGCGGCATCTAATTTGTTACATAAGGGACCACACTAAAGCAAGGTTATATTAAAATAAACAGTTGATTCCACTAATGGAAAATGGGTAGTTTTAATTTGATCGGGAAAAAATAGAATCTCACTACTTTTTGTAGAATCTCCCGATTTTTTTTCATGAGTCTACAGATTTTCCTTATTAGGGGTTGGCAGGTCTGTATGAGGAGCTAAGTACCATTCAAATAAAAGGCGGAAACATTTGGAATACTTCCAGAGATATGATGATATACATTTGCATTAATATCTTTATTTGTGTGGAGCAATTAATTAAACCTAGATTGTACCTCAAATTTTAAGATATCAAATGAGTGAAACAAGCTTTATACAAACAAAAATGAAATGAGAAAGTACTGTAACTCATTTATAAAATTTGCAGAAGTCCCCTGGTGACACCAGCCAAGTGCTGATAGGACAAGA